TCCGCTCTCACCAGGAAACAGAGGCTGCAACCAAGTTAGCGATACAAATAAAATTCCTAGTAAATTTGAATTGCATAGAGAAACAGAAGTGGAACGTGAAAAGCATCTACTTGTCCCAGAAGTAGCTCAGCCAGGACGCAGCCGGCAGACCAGATGTCAATAGCTGTTGTATATTCAGTTGCTCCAAAAATAAGCTCAGGAGCCCTATAGTACCTTGAACAAATGTACGATATATTTGGCTCCCCTTTTACCTATAATAAGCAACACAACATAAATTCTTTATACCAAACAAAGGAGGGGACATGCTAGTTGCCTATTGAAGAGCAGGAACGTACCAATACTTTTGCACTTCCAAAATCACATAGCTTGACCTGGTGGGTATGAGGATTTACCTGCAGAGGGAATAAAGAAACTACCTTCACGAAGCTAAACAAACTATATGCACCCTCCATTGATTCTTAATGAGGACATAAAATGATACAATACAACCAGAGAAGAAACATCGCTCCAAATGTGTCTATCTTCGATGATGAAGGAACTTAGACAAGAGATCCAACGTACACTTCCTAAATGCCAAGCCAAAGGATTAACAAGTTTAGGGCATCAACATTGTACTAGATGATGAACTCACCAAAAGATTTTGAGGTTTGATATCCCGATGGCACACTCCAATACTGCGGTGAATGTACGACAATGCCCTGAAGATCTTCCACATTACAAGAACAGGAACATGCATCAGTAACGTGAAAGATATAGTTTGGTCAGGAAAAAATAAATAACATGACAGATATCACTGGAATGCTCAAGTTGAGAGAATCGAAATCCAGAAGACTAATAAGAAGAGAAAGTCAAGGAAACACTATCCCCATAACTGGGACCCGATCAGAGAGTGCTTCTCCATATTAACTGGGTAATATTGTGAAAGGTAATATAAGAGCGAAAGCAAGAAGATTGATAGTATACCTGATATGCATAAAGTTTCACATAAATTAGAGGCATCCTTTGATTCAGCTTGTTGTAGTGCTTGATCACACGGTGAACTGTTTCGGGTACATACTCCAGAACGAGGTTCAGATATAGCTCATCCTCTTCACTCGTTGAGAAGAAGCAATGCTTCAAGAACACAATATTTGGGTGGTCAAGGAGACGCATTGTTTGCAATTCCCGATTCTTGTACCTCTTATCTTGAAGAACCTTCTTAATGGCCACTGTTTCACCTGTCTCTAAGCATTTTGCCTATGTAAAAGCAGTTTAAATATCAACAATCTTTCTTATAAAGTTAAAATGTATCGGAAAGTTTTTTGTACTGATGAATTACGACACAAGCAGCAACAACATACCTGAAACACCACTCCAAATGATCCCTGTCCAACTGCTCGCTCAGCCATATAGCTTATTGTCTGAAATTATAAATTAAAAAAGGTGCCCGAAACAGGGATATATGATCAATGGAGATGAACATTGAAGCAGAAACGAGCATCTCACACACATTTCAATAATACATAGATGAAAATGACAGTCAACTACATTTTTATCATTACTCCAGAAATGTAGTAACCAAATTATGGCCAACTGAGATTATATGTTCCTCTCAGCCCGTAAAACAGACATGTAGAAGGACAAGTTCATGCTTGATTGTCTATACTTAGCTAAAAGATGTTTGAAGCATGATATTGATTGACCGTGTTCATTTCACACATATCTCATCCTCAGCAGATCAGTTATAATATCGAGCCACAAATGAAACCCCAAACTTTAAGAGACGCTGGAAAAAAGTCATTAGTTCATGGTTCATAGGAGAAAAACTAAAAGTGGACCACAGAAGCATGAGTTCTGAACTCCCAACTGCATAGACGTGGAGACAGAAAAGACACCTAAACATGAAAAGATGCCATTCAACGAGAAGATCAATACACGACTAACAAAATATGCAAAATGATTCAGAAGAATGGTTCTTAGAAAAGAATTTAAACATGAATACCTGCTTTGGCTGGCCATTTCTACCACCAATAGTTGTCACTATAATATGACCTGTCTCCGTCCCATTACCATCAATAACCGTTGCTTCCATCTCCTAGAATTCATCAAGGGGTGAATTTCAGATGCTCAAGATCAGCAGAAACAAGAATTAGGATAACATAAACAAGATAATTACTAGGAGTGGCATCAGACAAACATATATAACTATCAAGGTGCTAAAATAACGAAAGGACATACCTTTTCATCCCTAATTTTCATGTCATTCATCTCTTCTGGCAACCTATCTGCGCCAAGAGCATATCCACTAGTATCTCTCAAACCAGAAGCAGGTGGGACACCTACTGAAGCCATTAGCTCCCACAAGCTTCCTCTTAAGCTTGTAGCTTTTCTACCTGTACAAAGCGGCTTTGTTCATCGACCTGCTAAAATTGTAACAACAAGATCAACGAAGATCTCTAGTCTTAAAGAGGAACTTAGAGAGAAAGAAAGCAATTAACATGCACCATCCCTTGACCCTCTTCATCCCCACTAAATGACAATCCCAGCTAAGTAATGAGAAACTATTTCCAGTGTCTAAACCGTTGGAATTTACAACTCAACCCAATGATCACTTGTAAACGAGTGCATGTCCGCAGCTTTCTAACCAAAGAGGACTCGAGTCTAACGCAAACAAGAGAGACATTACTACTAGGCAGCTAAATCTAACATGATATGAATTAGAATAACTCCAAAGTAAAAAAGGACACCCCTTTAAGCAACTGTACATGTTTTTATATAGTGGGGAGCAAATATCTATCAAATTTGCCAATTTGTGAGCTTTTTGAGTTGTTGAGATCAGGGGGACCTGTCATAGGTACTCCAGAACTACCTTAGCAGATCATAACAAACAGCACCACAAAATGACAAGAAACACTAAAGCAACAAAGTCAAACCCCATGATTTCGTGCTTCTTCTGAAGCTCGATATGCCCAGAAGAGGGATGACATCCACCCCCACGAAAAGTATACTTAAAAGCACAGAGGATGAAAGCATTACAACGTTCAACCAAGAACACTACTGGAACAAGCACAGTAAGACTGAGCATCGAAACCAAAACCAAAATGACCAGCCTGCATCGGAGCAAGATGCCCCCACAACTCGTTTCCAAGAAGTGTCAAAAAGAAAGTCAGTCCGATCCAGTCCAAAGCTCAAAGCTTTGGAACTAAGCTAACGATGGGTATGAGGAATGACAGCTACATCCAACGAACCAGCTACCTGCAGGCGCCGAGAACCAGTGGTGGTCAAACGGAGGCTCTAATGGCGATCAAGAAACGAGACATGGAGAGAGAGAGAGAGAGAGAGAGAGAGAGAGAGAGTGGCAGATCCATTTCTGCTCTCTTGCTTTTTGCGTTCACACTGTCGATGCCTTTTTGTTTTTTGCCTTTCTTTGTTTGGTCTTTTGTGCTGTAATAATGCGGCTATAGTCGAACAAGAAGATGAGAAAGAAAACCCGTTAAAATTACAGTTACGTTGTCTGATTTAGCTTGGTGTTCAATCCTAGCAAATATGCTCGCTTGGAATTTAATTTTTCTTTTCCATATGTCATTTATAATTTCATCTAAATTGATAGCGGATCTCTTGTGATATATATATATATAAGTGAACGTAAGCAACATATATCTATCCTGTTATGGTTGACGGGTGAATCTAATTTGTATCGAGGTTTAATATAGTCCGTTTAGATTTTCGTACGACATGGGATTATTAATACTTGGATTGCGGATCGTATTTAATCTTTAATTTTTAGACCATTTAAGTTCTGTTATAGATTCGAGAATTGAGAATGATCGTGGTAATAGAGAATTTGAGCAAAAAAAAAAGATACCTATAAGAAGTTATTCGGCAAATCTCGATATGTTTTAATGATGATAGTTAAAATGTGTTCAACGGTGAATAAACGCAAGGAGGGGAAAACAAAAGGGAAAAGGGCATTTTTTTTTTTGGCCCAAGCAGTTCCATAAGAGAGGAAGTGGTTTAGTTTAATTTAGGTTATTCATTTTACCTTTTTGACCAACAAAGTTATTCATATTAACAAGAAAACGATGTTTTCCAGTACCTTTTGTTTTTCGGAGTTTAATTAATTATTAAGCACACAATTCTCGTTTGAATTTAATGTTTTTTTTTTAATTTACAAATCCTAAAACTTGTTAATTTCGTACACTTAAATTTGAAGACCTTTTTTTTTTGGTTCATTTGTTACAATTTTGATGCACTTTGAGTCCTTTCTTCTTGACTTGACTAGATCAAAGGTCACAAATTGTAGGACTTAAATAAATGAAGTTAAAGTTTTAGGATTTAATGGCTCTAAGTTGACAAATTTTGTTGGCAAAATTCCATGAGCAAAAATAGACTTTTTGACTCTTTATCAAATTGCCATATGGCAAGTTATGATGAAATGCACAAGAACTTCCCAATCACTAGATTGTACGAGATATGTCGACAGATAGGGTAAATCATTCTCAAGTTTTTGCTAGTACCCTGCACTTTATGCAGGATAAAGTCAAAAGATGGCCATAGAAGATGCTCAATTGATAGTCATTGGAATGAATCTACTTATACAGAAACATCAAAGCATAATCAGTCATATTGAGAATCTAAATATTCATAAGAATATAATCTCACGGCCCGTCAGGTAATCACTTCTCTGTGTTCATGCCCCTACATTATTAAAGCTAAAAAGTTAATTATCATGTGGATTCAACGTTCTCGACAACCTAAGCATTTCGCGATATTGGTACATCGTACTAACTACTATCTTCTCCAACAATTATATCTTGTAATTATATTTCTCAACTTGGGTGTAATTATAGTATGCAAATGTCACTTTTTAGGTAAACCTCCAATTCCAATGTGGAAGTGGAACAAGCTCAAGTGGGAAAAGATAAAACCAACAGATGCATGCTGATCATATTCAAGAGACACGATGGAACTTTGTTTCCCTTTGGCCTCAAGAAGCACTTTCTCTTCCAACAAAGGACTAATGAAGCATTTAATCAATCGATCTTTGGATGCTAACCATCTGTACACACACACCCTCTATGCTAAGGTTCTTTTCAGTACTCTCCACTTCCACACATAGGCAACAATCATTCATCATCTACAGAAAAGACCCGAAAACGAAAAAAACAAAAGAATGATCATGTCCCTTCCCAAACCCCATGCTTAACAATCACCATCTAATTGGAAAATGGGGAAGAGAAGTGTCATGAATACTGCATCAGCCCTTGGTTCCCATATGGAGAAACAGTCCATGTAGATCTGTTGCTTTCACGTTCGCTGATACGCTTTGCTTTCTGATCTTGAACCTGGATAGTCGCTCCGGTCCGTGTCAGACATCTCCCGCTGGGAATCCATCTCCATGCTACTACCTCCCTGGGTTCTACGGTGCCTTCTATCCTGAAACCACAGATATGATACTTTCTTAGGAGGAACAAAACTGGAACAATGTCCCGATATCCGATGAGATGTATGGATCGGAAAAGTACAACATTTGATGGAAGTTCCGACAGGAATACTTTGCATGAGGAACATGATAGAATTAAGTACTATGATGCTTGTCGGAAGAAGAAGGATCAGCTTGAAGAAAAAGTAGAGATTGATGGACACATCCTGTGATGTGCTATGTGGAGGTTACCAAGCTGATGTTATGGTGAATGGGTCAGTATACCGTCGCCGTCGCCGTTGCCCTATGGGTAGTATCTTTTTTCACTTGAAAGTGTCAATCTCTAGCTGAGGTGGTGTGTGGCTGTGAGCTAGTATATCTCTTACTCTCTGCTCAGAGTACAATTTGCGTGTTTCATCAATGATAATCAATCTCCAGTCAAGAAAGTTTGGACAACTAAAAACAACTGAGTGATCCTTCGAATAATAGAAATGCCCTATGAAATGGAACATCAGAGAAAAGGGTACTTCAAATGAGGCAGCCAAGTTGATATGAGACAAGGGGAACCTGACGAAACACTTTTACTATGCATTACAGAAGGGAAATGCAGACCGTGAAGGGAGCAGCAGCAAAATGGAGCAGATGTCATCGAGAGGTCCATCCGAGTACAATGAAATTTGATCTACAAGATTTAATTGGAAAAAAGGTAAACATAATCGGAAAAGCTACCTCTCTTGGTATTGGATACTCCTCGGATTCAAGCATTCGGACAACTTGGCCCATCTTGGGTCTCTTTTCATGATCTGGGTCAACGCACCTCAAAGCTGTCAAAAGGGCTCGCTTCAAGGCTCTAGTTGAGGGCCTAACCTCAATATTAGGGTCAACCACCTCTTCTGACCGGCGGCTGCCGACCATCATTTTCAACCAATCAACCAGATTCACCTGAAAAATTATGAGTTATTGATCAGACTTGTTAGGATGGATGTGTTCATTAAGTAGTTCAACGGAGATGAAACAGGACTCCTCTGGAGCACAATAGAAGAGATGAGGATGCAGAATATAAAGGCATCGTTCCATGATTCAAGATGCTTTTGGAAGCAAATATCAGTAAATGTAAGTACATATTTTTGCAGTCTGATGGAATGGGGGTAGAAAAAGTGAGAGCAGAGAACTTCAAAAATGGAATGCTGAACAGTAGACTCTAAAGATATAGTTCTACCACTAGGGATAGCCACATTCATTAAATTCTTAGACCACATATATTTTTTTTCTCGGAAAAGCCACTTTTTTGCAGGAAACTATCATATAATTACCGCAGACGTATCACTTTTCTGAATGTGAGAAGGGAAGAAGCAGAACAGCTATTGACAAACTTAGGCTCCAAGAAAGTACTGCATGTGCCATATGATAGCAGGATGCAACCCGTTATAACTGATGAAATGTTACGCCAAGGTAATAGCAGAAAATTTATTCGAATCAACCAGCACAGGCAAACAGAGAAACCACCTAAAATCGACTTAAGTGGAAATTGAACCAAGTTTTGTAGATAAACTGGCACGAGGTCAGTCGACACTATTACTTTAAAAGAGCAAGTACCCCACAAGAGTTCCCCCCAAGCAAACTGTAGAAAGCATGAAAGAAACCAACTGAACTCTTAAATCCAAGTCTAACACAATGGCATGCTAATGGCAAATCTTGACCCAGCAAACTTCTAATTAGACAGAGTAGAAAATGGAGCATGAGGTCAATTTTTATGAACAGTTTTCAAATAGAAAGTATGAACAAGGATGAGCAATTACTTCAAGTATGACAAGGAAGCAGGAGACAGCTCTTATTGCTATGCAAAAGCACCTAAAACTCTCAAGAGGGTTACTATGCTTTTTCTCAAAAGCATCCTGGAATCGAGAAATAAGTGGCTTTCAAAAGCATTATACGTGTGCTCCAATATAGGTACACCTGATCTCCGTGTTAGCCAGTACAGTCGTAACTTTTGTATTGTTATTGCAGCACAGAGAGGAAGTGATCTAGAAAAACAATGTCTTACAACCAAAAAACTAGAATTAGTTTGCCAGAAGAAGCTGAAACATGCATATTATGCATGTCCCATGCTTGAGAAATTTTAAACAATTTGAATATGCTAATCCGATGGCATGATTGGGTACCTCATTGGCTGGACGTCCATAGTCAACAGGATCTCTACCAGTGATTGCTTCAAGTAGAACCACACCAAAGCTGTAGACATCGCTCTTTTCATTTAAAAGGCCAGTATTTGCATACTCGGGAGCCACATACCTGATATAATTAAGATGAAAGGTCAATCGCGGAAATAGTTTTACCAATAAGTCCAGTGTTTACTTGGGGAAAAAAGATAGATCCCGCGTGCGAGGGAAGGATGACTACAATGTTTAAAAAAAAGAAAGATCCCGTGTGTGAGGGAAGACTGACTGAACTGTCATAGAATATAAGGAAAGAAGGAAACTAACCCAAAAGTTCCCATAACTCGAGTTGTGACATGACTTTTCCCTTCACCCAGCAACTTGGCCAAACCAAAATCAGACACCTTGGCATTGAATTCATCATCGATCAATATATTGCTCGACTTAATGTCTCGGTGAACAACTTTAGGCTCTATGGCTTCATGCAGGTAAGCTAGACTGCAAAATCATGAACTGCAGCTTAGAACTAGAACGGAACCACATGAAACTTGTAGAAACTATACAGAATGAACCTACGCTTTAGCTGTGCCAAGCAGAACCTTTATTCGAGCTTCCCAAGTGAGATATCCCTGCTGGCGCATAGCTCCATGAAGCCACTGCTCCAGGTTTCCATTGTTGACATACTCGTACACCAACACCCTATGAGTTTTCACACGACAGGTACCGTTTAGCACCAAGGAAACCACATTATAATTGAAGCAAAATCAAGCTACTGTGCTAATCAGATGGGAACATAGATTGTCTTATTTGGTGGTTTAAATTGGGGCCTACATAATGATGATATAGAAGTTAATTGTTTTTAGTATAAGCTACCAGCTTATCCAAAATCCATCACGCCTAAAGCGACACTCTTCAGTTCAATATTTCTCCACTATTGATCTGACATGCAGCGCTTTTGTTATTCCAGCAAGTTTTCTTCACATTGCACTTGCGGTGGCACAGTGGTCCCACATTTCAACTTATTATACACTGAAGAGATCGTGGTCTACCAGAAGACTCGAGCCACCATGAACAGGAGCAGTACCTATGTGTCCCTTCCACGCAGTACCCAAGAAGACGAACCAAATTCTTATGGCGCACATGCCCAATGGCTTCGACTTCCACTCTAAATTCTTTCTCTGCTTGGCCCCTATCACATTGAGTTTGAAAAGCAAATTTCCTTAGGAATCCAAGTCACATCTTAAAGGGAGCAAAAGCAAATAGTGTCAACCCTGTAAGTTGCAATGAAAATGTAAACTTACACATTGTTCAGAATTTTCTTAACTGCCACGGGAGTCCCATTGATAAGACGGCCCCTGTAAACAACTCCATAACCTCCCTCACCAAGGACATTTTCCTTGGAAAACCGGCTTGTTGCTAGCTCAAGATCCCTCAACGTAAACCAGTGACCCCAGCCCAAGTGCGAAAATTCGGGCAAGCCAGACAAAGGTGAAGGAGCGGTTATCGGGTGTGACGAAGAAGGTTTGTAAACAGTCACAATGCCAGAGTTCGATTCGTCTCCTGATTGGGATCCATAACCGTCTCTGTCTACACGATGAAATGACCCAGAGTGGCTGCTATTATCTCCTTTGTACAGTTTCTCCATGCCGAGATGTACAAGCACTTTATCCGATTCTTTGTCACTGGATTTGTCCTGAATAGTGAGAAGGATGCCATCACGGGGAGCAAATGCACTGGTGGACACTTGCTCCACCCTAACTTCTTTGATTTCCTTAGAAACGGTCGGAATCTGGCTGAGGGGCAGTTTGTCTCGCATTCTTCTCGATTTTTTCTTCAACATTAAACACAGCGATAATACGGAGAGAATGATCACGATAAACAAACCCACGACGATTCCTATGACCTCCCAAACCTTAAGGTTGAAAATGGCAGTATCCTTGGATAATTCAGCATTGAGATCTGTGGCCATATTTTCACTGCCTACAAAATGTGTAAAAGAACTTAGCAACTTCCTCAAAGCGTAAAACCTTGTATTAGGATCACCAACTTTCATTTCCAGATTCACGTACAGTTTCAGGCACCCAAGAGAGTCAGCGAAGCTACACCTAGTCATAACGGCAGTCATCAAAATACCACATTTTCATTTCCTAAAACACCGGAAAGACTGCAAAGCGATTGGCTAGTCAAGACCACAAATCAGAAAGCAAAAGCCTACACAAGCTTTACAATGCCATCATTAGATCGAGACGCTGCAGATATAAGACGAAACTAACATTCATATCATTGTCTCTAATTGACCATCTGACCAGCATACCAAAAAAAAACATAATTTTAATATTGAACCAGCACAAAAATTGACACAACAGAGGCTAAAAAGAGGAAAGATTACAATTCATCAATTTCTCACCTTTCTCAGAGGCGCTTCACATCCAGAGTTCTAGATCTCCGACAAAAACTCAATCTTGCAAGGAGAGCTTAATCCCAGAATCATAGATCTCTCCAAAAGGAGACCAACCAACCCATTTTCAGCTCATAAGAGACATTTCAAGAAACTTGAATCAGCCACGGTTGGTTCAAGAAAGCCAATTATATATAGACAATGCAAAACCTGGTTTTTCCCATCAGCAAGCTTAATGTGAGTCTGAATCTAAGCTGAAATGTAGCTTTCTCTGAGACCCAGAAACGCAAGGGAAGGTAGAGAGGTTTGTTGCAAAGAGAAAAAGGGAAATAAAGGAATATCAGAGATGAGTTGGTTTGGTTTGTGTCCTGGGGATAAACAAAGAAGAGGGGGTGGAGTTATCAGCGGTAGGTGCTCTTACAGCTTCACATTAATACAGGAAAAGAGAAGGCAAATGTATTTGTGCATGTAAAGGAACTACTATAACCTCTTTGAGATTTGATTCTCTATCACGATCTGTCATGGACATTGACAGATTATCAGTAATTTACTGAAAAAGTTTTGATTTTTAGTTTCACTTGTTTGGGCAAATGTAAAATCTGACCAGACTGCATTAAACAAATGACAGGTTTTGTTGGTTTGTGCACAGAGGTCTTCACCTTAAATCTCTTTCTTGGGTTTTCTTGACTGCATTAAACTACGCATGTGATGCTCGGCCAAAAAACAAATACTATGCATGTGATGGTCAAACACCCCGATTGAAGAAAAAGTGGGTGATGAAATCTGATGATTTTGATGGTTATGACAAGCAATTTAGTCAGATTCAGGGATTGGTTTATGGGGAAAAGTAAAAGGAACGAAAAGGTTTTATTATCTGGTTTGACAGTCTTATCTCTAAAGGACAATAGAGAAAACCTCTAAAGGACAAACATGGCCGCTTAAGCTGTGCAAAACCACCATTCACACAATCACAGCATGCCTCACCAAGTTCATAGATTGTGGGGGACTCACAGACTAACATTCTCACTGCCCCCTGACATTGGATTATCAAAGCCACTGTAAACTTATATTAATATTGCTCTCAAACGTTTGTTTTGTGCAGTATCTTGCACATTGCTGAAAAAAAATATACATGCCCGATTCAATAGCTGCTGTAACCTGCTAAGAAGAATTGAAATAATCATTTGAGCAGAACCATGATAAAATACAACAAAAAGGGGAGCTTTTTCTTCACAACATCCATGGAGTCTATGGCCCTAGCCATTGGCTAAAGGAGAAAAATGAGTGGTTTATGTAACAATGAATGTGAAGAACAAAAGGTGATCCTGATCAGTGGGTTTCGCCTTTACCAGTTATAATTGAAAACTGTCCTAAAAAAAATTGGGATTGGGGTCCCCCTGGAAATTCAAGTCCTTCAGCTAATGGATGACAGGGTGAAGTACAATGGACAGCCACACTTATTTAAGGGGGTGTTTCCCTTTCAGCCATCATACATAAAAGTTGTCCTCAAAAAATTTGGGATTGGGGTCCCCCTGAAAATTCAACTCCCTCGACTAATGGATGACAGGGTGAAGTACAATGGGAGAGTTACCTAAGGACCGTACAAAGACAATTGACAAAACAAAAATCAATATCTAACTACTTATATTTGAGCTTATGAGCTACCCACCAAATCAAACTTGTGTTGTTATGTTTTCATTTCTGGTTAAATGATCTCTAGCAAGCGGACCAAGGTTGCTCTTTCTTCATGCTCACACGGGAGAATTCATAAGCAATCGCTCTCTCGTCACGAGTTTCGTATCGAATCAATTCAATAATCCTTCATTCTCTCGACCGGTGGAACTCGAGCCTTCTTCAAAATCTCCGATCAGTTACCCAGGGTTCCAAAATCAGGTATCCACTTTTGACCCCCCCTAGGAAAGGAAGACTGGTGCAGACCCTAGTATGCAAATATAATTCTTTTTTCTTTTCCAGCTACTGATTTGGGTGGTGACTAATGGCTAAGGCCAGCATGATGGTGGCGGAGTGCTGGCTCTCATTTTGGGGACCATGTTGCTGAGCTGTGTGCCAGGTCGCCAATTTTTGTGGCGTGCACAGCAATATATCTATGGGAGTGGGCTGGTGATATTTATGTGTTTTTTTCCTGAGTCATCATCATCCCATACACTGCCATCTTAGGAAGAGCCAGCTTCTTGCTGTGTATACAACAGCTGCATGGACTTCCAATTTTTCCTTGTTCCAGCCAGATACAGAAAAACCCCAGAAAAGAAAAGAAACCCTAATTGACCCAGGGCTATCTAAGACTAATTAGCAGGGTCCCCCCATTCACTTGGCAAAAGGGTCGTCTCCGTTTCGAGTTCGACCCGTGATCCACGGTCCCGTGATAAGATCGGTACAATTTCCGGGTCTTAATCAATCTCCTTATAGAGATTAGGTCCATATATATCTTGCCAGCTGATGGAAAGATTAACACGGCGGTCGGCTTTAGGCCGCAATTTTCATTGATTATGAATGAGTTTCGAGGTTGATGATGATCATGTTAATGGAGAGATTAAGGATGCTGGCATGTACAAACAAAATCTATAGATAACTAAGATGGATCCACTTGCATTCTTTTTTTTTTTCTTAATGCTAGATTATCTGTCCATGCAATAAATAATTAATAATCTTCAATTTTTCTATGATCCTTTTGATATCTAATAAATAGTGCAAGTGGAGAACTCCCTCCAACGGATTTTGACAAAAACAAAAACAAAAACAAAAAACTCCCTCCAACGAATCCTATGCATGCATGCAGTTTGACCTTATATCAATATTTTGCGTAGTTAATAAGCTTTTTATTTTTATTTTTATTTTTCTGGCTTGCCCGAAATTATCAAGACTTTGCAGAAAGAGCGATTTTCTCGCAATCCGTACATGTTAAAAACTATTAATTGCGTGATATAATGCTTCACCTTTCGTGCACATGTTCGATATTAATATTTATTGCTTGAAGTAAATTAAATTATTAACTAGGGAGAGGTCCAATCATTGAATAGACGAGGAAATTATCAAAAAAATCTTAAATTTATTGCACTTATGCTAAGTCAATTTTAAACATTTCAATTGTGCTAATTTAGTTTGAAATATTTTCACGTTTTGCCAATTGAATCGGTCCGAACAATTTTGACTGGAAATGGCTAACGGAAACGCTAGACGTCCTATATGGTACGTAAGCATTTTTCTATAGTATTTAATAATTTTTTGGTTTTCTTTTTCCATTTTTTATTTTATTTTATTTACTTTTTATTTGGACTGAGTGTTGACAACGGCCGCCGGCCACAGATGAGGGGCAAGATGCCCTCACCTTATTAGGGCGTCATAGCCTCACACAGATTAGGTGAGAGCATCAGCCCTCGCCAACCAAAGCAAGGGGCATCGCGGCCCTCGCCCAGTGCCGACGACCCTTATCGTTTCTCTAATAAAGAAAAGGAAAAAAAACCACAAAATTGCACAAAATTCAAAAAAATTAAAATATTATCAAAAATGTCCATGACAGTGTCGGCCGTGCCAGGTAGGACGGTCGGTGTCCGCGTCAGCGATTTCTAGTCAAAATTGACTAAATGAACTCGATTGACAAAAATGTAAAAAAATTTAAGACTAAATTGACACAATTGAAAGGTTGAGAACTGAATCAGCACAAGTATAATAGGCTTATGACTTTTTTCGGTAATTGTCCCTTATTTAATTAAAGCCAAAAAATGTAGGTGTACTTTTCTCTGGTGCTTACCCTAAAATGAAAGGCATTGATTATTATCAAGCAATCTGTCACAATTATTCCTCAATTATTTGTGCCCTCTCTTTCTCTATCTCTCTAAAAGAGAGAGAGCTCGCATTGATAGATATATTTACGTAAATCACACTACAAACGATGCCTATAACAGCTAATGATTGATACCTTTCATTAGATAGAATCAAAGTCCAAATCTTTATTACCATATAAGGCGTGAGATGTTAGTTTGCCTCGCGAACAAGATCTATTCCTATTCTTCGAATGCTTTGTTCATCAAATCCGAGCTTATTTTCGCCTACCATGACACGGTTAGCCCAAAAAAAAAAAGGAGAGAAAATAGGAATCCACGAGAAGGCTGGTCGTGCAGCAATGATAGATACTCCGACGTGGTCGAATGAACTCAAAGTATCTGCTAGAAAGTGTGTCTATAGCTACGTAGGGGTGTCGACGGTACGGTTCGGTTTAGGTTTTCAGAAAAACCAAACTGAATCGAACCGTTTGGGTGTGTATTAGCTTTGAACCGAACCACGACCTGAACCGAGTATATTCTGAACCGAAGACCCACTTCGATTCAATTCGGTTTTTCGGTTTTCTTTTTTGCAATATTAAGAAGAGGTTTATTGTAATATTAAGAAGAAGGGCAATTTTCAATTTGGATCATCAGTTAACCGAACCGAACCGAACAGAACTAAACCAAAACTATTTGAACCTGAGTGAAAAAACTGGTATTTTCATTATATGATCCGAAACCCAAGAAAAAACGCATGAAATTTGAATTTGGTTCGGTTTTCCAATTTGGTTCTGACACCCCTAGCTACTAATATGGCCGGTCGAAAATAGTGAAATGGTATTCGGTACCACATACAATGTCATTTATTAGAATTAATGAGGCTAGCCCTACGAGGTTTCTAAAGTATTCTAGGGAGCATATAGATGTGATTGATCAGCAGAATCATATGGGACATAGAGCTAGGTTTTGGACCATACTTTGCCCAAGGTCTTCCCGCAATTTTTGCACTCAATTAATTCGCAAAATTCACGGCCCTTCACGGGGCTTGATGTTCAAAAGATAAATAAATGACATTGGCCTCGTGACTCAACATTAATATACCTATAAAAAATTATAAACTGGGCTTCCATATTTAATTATCTAATCCAAATAAGGAAGTCACATGTTATGCAATACCCACTTGAGCTTTCGAGTTTTTCTTAATTTTTCCGAGAAAAGTTTACAACCCGTTTTCACAGGAAAATAACTTGAGTCATTTTTAAGTGCTGCCCCGGACACGTGGCATGCTTTCCAGTGGCTTCAAATGACCCACATGCAAAACTTAAGCCGCTGCCGCCGCCGCCGCCATCCGCCACGGCACCGGTCGCCGTCCCCTCTATCTCCACCGCACCTCCACCTCAGTCGAAGCGAATAAATAGACTCGTCTCTCTTCTTTGCCTCGCGACATTCTCTCTCTTTCCTCCCGTCCCACTTTCGAACTTCATCACCGGAAAGGCGATGAGAGAGGGCAAGGGCACCATCCCACGGTGGCTGAGCAAGCTGACGGCGGAGCAGGTGGGGCGGAGGTGCGCGACAGTATATCCGTGGTGGTGGCCGCTGCCGGCCGGAGTTTCTAGACAGTGATGTTGTCCCCCTAAAAGAAACTTTCATTATATATGCACAGTATAGTATACATAAAATCAACCATCCATCAAGTTTACCGGATATGACTAGTGACAATTGCAGCCGCAAGCGAGAGCAACGATGGGTATGTTCAGGAATATGGACCGAGTAAAATTATTAGGGCCCATTTAGTTGGGTCCAGTTGAGAATTCGTATATAAGTTGTGGAGATTGTTTTCAATATAAAAAAAAAAAAAAACCTAATCCTCACAACTAGATTCAATGGTTCCAGGGCAGAACCAGGAACCGGAGAACCGGACCGGTGAGAACCTGTCCAATTCCGGATTCCAAGGTATGCGGAATAGGTTCCAGATTTCAAAAAATGAGGAACTTATTCCAATTGGTAGATTTTAGATTTTAGGAGGAACTGCTCAAAATAGAGATAATTCCATTTCGGGTTCTATAACTTAGATAATTGTGCTAATTCCATTTCGTGTTCTATAACTTAGGTAATTGTGCAATCAAGCCTAGAAACTCTCAATTTGCACAATTAGATCCTGCAACTTTAGCCCACTGTCCAATGTAGTCCTCCGATGACCGGATATATGCGATTCAGATCAAATTGATACCTTAGGCTTATATAAACAAATATATGTTTTCAAAACAGGACGTGGAAACTGTGAAATAGAATTGGACTGACATCTCTCAACATGGACTCATGTTCTTCTTCCGATCAGAAGAAGTCCAGGAAGCGGAATCCAGGGTAAAAAATTCGAAAGCACAGAAAAGAAAAGAGCAATTTGATCGGAGTTTCATATCACCGGTCGCCGGAGGACTGCATTAAACAAGGGACTAGAGTGACAGGAGTCGGGCTACGTTTGGGAAAGTGCATTTCCCCAGAAATATTTGGCTCAAGAGGTATTTGCTCAAATCAAGTACTTTTTAAGTGACTTTTGGTGTAATTTTTTGGAAAGTAGGTCGCGTTTGTTTCGCGAAAAATAAACGATTTGGAAAATATTTATATGAAAGGATCGTTTATATTTCTTATAAAAATGAATTAACGAAAAATAATTTCGTCGTCAATGAAATGTTTAGACATAGATTATTGTCGGTAATAAAATCACGTTTCATTAACTAATTGTTGCGAGCGATAAAAGCGATCATTTTTAGGAAAATATTTTCTAAATAATTTATTTTCCGCGAAACAAACGAAGCCTTAAAAGAAAAATACACAGAGCCAACTGTTCGTCGTCTCTCCGTCATGGAAGTAGAGGGCCACCACAAGCCCAAGCGAGGGCTCCGAGGTCGCGCATCCCCATGCGTGACAATGCTGAGGTCGCACCCCTTGTCCATGTGACCTCGGGCGACATAGATTTGGAGACAAAAGGTTTGGGCAACCCGGTGAGCCTTGACCTCGGCGATGCTCGACACAACAACCATCAACCTTGGCGACCCTCAATATGCCAGATCTTGCTTGAGCCACGACCTTTAAATCTCGCCTAATAGACTCGTGACCCTGTTTACATTTCTTGTCATAGTCGAACCCGTGGCTCTAGAATGCTTCAACAAGCTCATTTGCTGTTTAAAATTTACATCGTACAATAATCATGGATTGATTGATAGAGGTTATTTTCGTTTATGCGTTTGTAGTTTTTTTAGCAGTAATCACAAGTGATTCTTACAATCACCGTTTATGCATTTTCAGGTTCATTTACACTAATATGCCGTTCATATCAAATAATGAACATGATAACATATAAAAATATCCGACTTCATTACCGCAATTCACCATAACAAAATTCCTAGATTTCATATCGTATTCTATCCAGAACCATCATGACTAGAAATCTAGATGACCAAACTCAGCCTAAGAGTTTTGGGACATGATTTCACAATTAACCTAAGTTGTAGGACTGGAAGTTGGAATTTCCCAAACAAGCATGTCTTTCTCTCATATAATCCACTGCTCTTCCAAAGTCCTAGATACAAAAATATTTAAAAGCCAGGTCGCCGTATGCACTGAACATGCAGCGCGAGGAATGAGTTGAATATACTAATGTCTCTTGTCGTTATGCTCATTACCACGCGAACCGAGGACAAAAGCAATATCAAAAGACACGACACCCTCGTCGAAAACTTAGTCTAATTATGGGGGCCATTCGTTTTTCCTCTGTTCCCGGCGAGGAATATTCCGCAGGTTCTGTTCTATGTTTAACACTGATTCCATGGCGCAGGTGCTTGACACTGTGGCAATGCATGTTATCCCATTTTCTAAGTACGCACTGGTCTCAAATGAGACCAAGTCTCGTGAAAAAAAACATTGTGTTTGAGCCTTTTTGTTCTTAGCCTCCTCTTTTGTGAAATCTGGGTTTTGTCCTTGGGCTTGATCCCGAGTGAGAAATGCCCATCTCTGCGCTTTGGACAGCAGAGTGCCAAGTGAAATTCAAAACGAGTGAGGGGCCGCTTTTATGCCCAGAATCTGTAAAGAGGTCTCAAAGATCAAGTCAGCAGCTTTTCCAATCCTCCAAAATCCAGAGATCACGAAAGTCATATGGTAGGTTCCAAAAGATGCAGACACATTACACATTACACATCACGGTTTGATGTCATATTCTCCACTTTCCCTTATGTTTATCTCCAGTACACACCACACATGGACAAATTAGGAAAAAGGAGCAGACCGGGCACATCGGTGGTCATCACCCCACTTTGGATGGGAAGAACAGAACAGAACAGTTTGGTTACTCTCAGCGTGCAAGTGCAGATGCTCTTTATTTCTATATCTTTCTTATTCTCAGTGGTTCTGGATTACCTCCCCACCATATCGCCACTCTAAATGTTCATGTGTTTGCTTTCGGCTTTGTCGTGTATTAGAGAGAGAGAGAGAGAGAGAGAGAGAGAGAGAGAGAGAGAGAGAGAGAGAGAAGGTGCTTTTAAAAGAGAGATGAGGTAGAAAAGGATAATTCCACATGGAATTGTCCCCACTCGTGTGTATATTCTACATTAACTTCGCAGAAAGAGATTTAAGTTTGAAAAAACAGCAGAAAAAGGTAATCTCTTCTCTTTAATTGTGTTAAACAATGTCTGCATTTGCACCAAGATTCCGTGTATGTAGCAGCACCAGCAATCAGCAGACCATGTACATATGCACATGAGAACACGTTACCTATGTTTGTCCCAATAGACCGAACTATGAGTCCCGTATTTTGTTGGTCTGGAATGAGTCTACATATTATCTTTTTTCGACGCACGAGGTTATAGGGGTCGAGAAACAGCCAATCTTTCACAAAACAATGTCTACCAAAAGTCGATTGCCATGATGGATTCAAGAGGGTGTTATGTAGTCATGAGTTGCAGACTTCTAGCCATTAGCATCTGATGGACCATTAGGCTACGCCCTTTCTAATGTGTAGTCTGTCCACTCTCTGTGCCATCAAGTTCAAACAGATGCACTAGAAGAATAGGCCAAAACAGTTTCTTTCAAGCTCAAACAATTTTATGAAGACTTCTCTAATCTATTTTGTTCTCTGTCCATTAAGAGTACTAATTATTCACTAAGGAGCAATGGTATCTGATCATGATGAGCTAAGCACTTTGCATATTTTTATCCCTCCTTTCTATTTAACCAACTTGCTTCATATTTGAGAGGTTCTTATCAGGATAGAAAGATGGGTTGCTGACGACATTCACCCACTGATGGATCTGATTTTATCTGATACCGAGGTGCTATTTGGAGCGAAAGTTCATATCATTAACTTCCTTGTTAGGCTTATCTAGAGCATCTCTTTCTGTCAAACAGGGGAAAAAAGGAACTGTCAAACAGGGGGAAAAGAAAAGAAAAAAGGAAAAAAGAACTTTAATTTGTTGAAATCCATGAATCTTTTGGACTGCTAGCAGAGTTTGTCCTCCCTATTTCTCTTGGACAATAAAAAATCATTTCTTGCTTATCTCTAAACATGAAAAAGAAAAAACACCTCTCTCGATCAATTTATCATGCCAAAATCTGAATTCTGCACAAAATTCGCGGAAATCATGTACGTGTGAATCTCCAAATATCTTCTAGCTTAGCTAGTTCAGTTTTTCCAGTAGTTTCATGGTCAGTTCAGGATATGAAGGATCTGGGAATATATGCCTCAGTCATGACACTACATATGCTTTTTCTGGGAAGGCAATTTGGCATATGGACGTGCATCCATTCTATTTGCCTAGTCATTCATGAATAATTGGCGCTGTCTTTGGAAAAAGCTAAAGAAGCAAGGAAAAGAAAGCAGATGATGTTTTGATTTTCTTTTTTTCTGCTATCATAAGGAGCAGTAGCAGCGCCATTGCCTAACCATCCTTCATGACAAAGGAACATCTTTTTTCCCTTTATTAATTAATTTGCATGCAACACAGTCGTCTTCATCCTTCCTTTGCCTTTTTTCTCCTTTCCCTCCTCGCTTTATCTCCGACGCCTTTTCTTGGCCCCCTTCTCTCTCCAATGGCTTCTTTTATTCCAGTTCATATCATGTCTTTTGAGAACCACCAGTACGCAAATCGCATTGGAAAACTACTTGTTGCCTCTCCTCCTAAACCCAGGAAGCACATCTCAGAATAATGGCCAAAGGATGCTCCAAATGCCTCTTCATATTCCCCTTGTCTCTTCTCATCATCTGTTCTTCGGGTAAGTGAAGTGACCACGGTCTTTCTATATGAATATGCTTTTTCTTCCAACCAAATTAGCAGAAATCCTACAGTATAATCATTTGGCCTTTTGAAGCTGAAATGAGAAAAATATGCATGCTGTGCATTTAGTGTCCGTGATATATGAAAATCAAGAACTAGTACTCTTGTGCTTCACCAATTGAAGCTGGACTACAATTGCCCTTATTAGTTATCAGAATCCTTTACCCTTTTCTTTTCCTGTTCTTCTGCGTTACTGATTGCTTCAAAACACAGTATGTCTTAGTGCACAGTGTCTGATCTTTGTCATATTAACCTTGACAGGAACTCTGGTGGGTTTCTCTTACCATGCAAATGTAAAGACTGCAGATTCATTAAGTATTAAAACCTTAACATTCTTCAAGCTAAAAAAGGTTGCTCCATCACAGATCGAGGCATTTACTGCTGATAACCAAGATTTAAGTTCTCTCACTAACTTTGGTGCATCGGTCCACCTCTTCCTAAATGTAGACCAAATTAAGAGTGTTATGCATTCTGAACCATCTGCTATTTCATTGCTCAAACTCAAAGCCCAAACGCTGGCCTCTCATCCTCAAGCAAGATTAGAAGGCATAATACTGGGTTTTGGTTATCAGAATGTGGGTCAAGCCGAGCTGCAGAAGATCTCATCCACATTAGAATTAGTCAATGGTATCATGAATAGTGAGAGAAAGATGAAGGTTTCTGTGGCGTTTCCTCTGGCTTTCTTAGAGAAATTGGGGAAAGATGGTTCAGGAGAGCCACATAGGATATTCAGTTCCATTGAGAAATCGTCGGTGATGGTAATCATCGAAGACAATATCACAAGTGAACCAGGTGACAGAGATAAGGTTGTTCACTCTGTCATTCAAAGAGCACTTCTGGCCGGTTCTCTTTTTTTGCCCAATCATATTCCTCTAGTCTTGTCCCTCAAAACACCAGTTATTCCTAGTACAGAAGAAGCGGCTCAGTTGACTGATAGCGTCTTGAAATCATTAGAAAGCAATGCTCAGATCAAACCTGGCCAGTTAGTAGAAATCTATACAGATTTATCAGACATGCGTGAACTCAGGTATCGAGATGTTCAATACAAAAGACCGGTTTCTTACCACAGAGAACTCCTGAGCCACCTGAAACACAGTCTGCACGACTTGGTTACCAATCCGACAACCACATTTCCAGTGACTCCAGTATCGGCAACACCAGTCACCACTCCAGGTACTCCCGCACCCACCATCATCACCGTGCCTTCTACCACCCCAGTCATGGCAACTCCAGAGAATCCTCCGGTGGCACCTATCATATTTCCCCCGACAAATCCTGTAAATCCTACCGTGCCAGTCACAAATCCGGCGGCGCCTATCATATTTCCCCCAATAAATCCTGTTAACAATCCCGTGCCGATCACAAATCCGGGCGCGACACCAATTGCAGTCCCTGGGGCCCAGCCGGTAACTAACCCTGTGACAACATATCCGTCACCATTAGGGGGCGTTCCTGTTACAGCACCCGTCACAAACCCAGTCGCACCTCCAGTGACTACAAATGCACCTGCGGTCCCAGGACAGAGTTGGTGTGTAGCCAGGAGTGGAGTATCGGAAACTGTCCTACAACAAGCACTGGATTATGCTTGCGGCATCGGGGGAGCAGATTGTTCGCAAATTCAGCAGGGAGCAAGCTGTTATGACCCAAATTCTCTTCAGTACCATGCATCCTATGCTTTCAACAGCTACTATCAAAAGAATCCGGTGGCTACGAGCTGCGATTTTGGGGGTGCCGCCACTATCGTTAATGTCAATCCAAGTAAGAATCCTTTCGGCATTTTGTTAAGTTTCTTTTCCTCTAATCTTAGTAAACGTCTGTAATGCTTTAGAATATCAGTTCAAGCTTCTCCAATGTTCGTACAGGCGTCGGTTCTTGTATTTACCAGACCTATCCATTATCATCTGCACCAGCAACTACGACGACGACACCAACACCGACAACAGCATCTCTGTCTCCTCCATCGACGGGGGTGCCCATATCAAGGTAAACTCTCCTATCCTGTAGTTATATAAATCGTTTCTTTTTTATTTTTCGAGAAAATGCTCATCCCTAGTTACAGAGAGATAATGACATTGGTTCTATTCCCGGATATGATAGCTCCGGGACTCCCCCTGCAGTGGTGAATCCTGTCTCCACTAGTCCCACTGGCTTTACCTTGGAAAACCCTCCGGCCGTCAATACATCAACCTCGACCTCGACTAAATTGCAGCCTTGCAGTTACACTGGCCATATTGTCTTGCTAACAACCTTACTCGCTGCAAAATTGATGCCGGCAAGGTAGGATCCCTGAACTTCGTGTACAACATCCTCGGTCCCGGGCTGGTGTCATGTTTCCTGTTGCATCAACTATGTACGGGCTCATTGTTGGAGCGACAAAGAGCAACTTGGTATTGGTTCTAAGCTATACCAAGTAAACTGTGACAATATTTAAGCCTGTTAGGTTCTCCAGACCGCATACATGCGCTAAGCTGTCTAATAGAGATGCTTGTTAGAGTATACACTGTCCAAAATCTTGTATAATAGCTGATAGCCGAGATAGACCTAATATCATATATTTCCTTTGGGGCAGTAGAAAGTAGCAATCTAGGACTTCAGGTCAGAGTTAGAAGAGGATTGCTGAAGATTGTAATAGCTGATCCACACTTGTTTGTTGTCTACGTGCATTGTGCAGCTAAGTTTGAATCCATTACAAGTTCATTTGGACTAATGTCTTGTGTATTCACATGAAAACCACAAAGGTAAGAGTGAATAATCCCTTGAAATCGCCATTGGCACAAACCCTCGGCTTCAAATGGGTTCCACCAGATCTAAGGAATTATCAGATCCGACGGTCAAGATACATCGGTCTTGAAATTTTATTTTTTTCCCTGGATTACGTGCCTAATTTGAAGCTTTTGACAATTGATAATTTTGCAAGGATGCAGACTGCGCAAATTAAAACTGGCCTCACCCAACTAGAATCACACTGCTGGGATTATAATATTTCCGAATTACTTTTTCATTTGCAACTAAATATCAAACTTTTCTATGGCGATGATGTGACGCTGACTCATTCATGAGCAATCCAATGTAAAAAGCCCTTCATCATGTTGATTTTCCTGAGGTGGGGTAGGAGTGGAAGGTTGATGGCAGAAAGCATGCCAAAGACGGTGTAACGGATAATTTTATTGACAAGCCAAAATGTCAATAAAAAAGTCGGAAACCATAAAGCTGCGTGGGACAAACAGAAAGTAGCCACGTTGAGTATCATTGAGTCATTAGTAACATGATGAGAGAGGAAGAAGGCTAGGCCCTTGTCCAAAGGCAGTTTTTGCTCACATGGAAGGCACTCAGCCTCACACAAGCTTCATGCAATGGATGCCACTCGACCAAGAGAGTGTCCCATCATGCAATGAATTCGTTGCACCAGACAAATTGACTTTGTTGATGATCCTCGAAGAGACGTGCTTGCATTTACATATGTCAGTGTACACACAATTGATAGCGGCATCGGCACTACCGCAGTTTCAGGAGACCTGATGAAGTCAAAAATGCAATCTATGCAGCAAAAGACCACAAATATGACATTGTTGAACATCTAGCACAATTATTTCCATGACCGTTGGTCAAGTTTTCATATTTGATGTCATTGCTTAATGCAAAGGGATATGCCTCTGTGCACAGGAAGAGTATATACCGGATGATAATACTGCTAAAATACGCATTAGAGTTGAAGGTATTCTTAGCTCGAGCTTTGGAGCAGCAGCCTCAACGGGATCAAAAGAGAGCCTAAGAGGATTGCAGTTGTGCTAACAAAATGATAACTACCTAAAGGTTCTAAACAACACAACTAAACTATATGGCATCAAATTCTTTTTATACAGCACTAGAAAATAGACACTAAACTATTCATCGCTTGGAGAACACCACCAAGATCAACATCGACATGGAAACCATGATTTTGAAGCCAGAGGACTCCCAGAAGTTCTGTTTATCGTTGATGGCATGGCCCTCCTGTTGTTGCTGCTTTGCTGCTAACTGGTCTCTAAGATCCTTGATAGCTCTATCCCTTCGTTCTCCCATCTATTTCAGCACAAAGCAGTACAATAGTTGAGAAGACGCAATTTCGATGGAAAGCAGTCTCAATAAATTAACTGGACCACATCCTTTCGAGAATTTCATGTACCAACTTCTCAATTGGTAAAAGTTCAGTCAAAACAGGCCAAGAGTGACGTGTGAGCATAAAATCCATTCAAACAAACTCTATATGATTCCAAAAGTTGCTAAGTGGACCATATACTAAATAGGGATCCTGTTCCACCTTTAATGAAACACAAGTTCCAAAATATTCTAGCTAATCCTACCTGCACATGGACCAAAAAATTCAATAGCCAATATGCACTTAAGTGATGACAAAGAAACATACCCGTTGAAGCTTTCGTGTTTGAGCACGAGATTCTTGGAGACAAAATTCCAATTTCAACACCCGTTTCTTCAATTCCTGATCAGCTCGACGCTGCTTTTCTAACTGTTCCAGAAAACACATTTAGTGAACGACAGCATTTACCAATTCAAACAATTCCTAGTATTAGAGCACTAAAAGTATCAATCTTAAAAGCAACCGTGGTAGCACTAAAAAGGGTATTACCTGTGATTCCAATTCTTTGGTCTTTATCTTCCAGTGAGCAGACATTATCTTGATTTCATCCTTCAATCTCACTATCTCTTCATCCTTAACAAGCAAAAGCTTATTGATCTTGTCAATATTCTTTGGAGAAACCTCATCTAGTATTTTCCTCAACTCGCAGTCTTTGCCTACTCCAGATTTGGCAAGAGCTTGCATTATGTCATGTTCGATCCTCAAGACTTCATCTTTTAATTGCTTTTGAGAAGATTCCCTTGCTTGAAGATCCTTCTGCAAGTTATCTAACTGCTCAGCTAGCACATTTACACGATGCTCATGCTCCATTATAGAACTATTCTTCTCATCTAATTCCTTCAAGAGTGCCAAGCACTGATGTTGCGCCGATTCAGCTGACACAGCACTAGCCTCTGCAGTGGCCTGTGTGGTTGCAAGCTGTGATCTTAGATCATCTAATTCCTTGAGATACTGCTGCATTACACATTTATGATCAGATATAGCACACAAAAAGCAGAAGAACACTAGGCAAGATCATTTCTGCAAGTGTCGATTTGATTTTTTCAAAGCTCTACAACATTTTCTGACAAAAGGAAAAAAGAAGAAATAAGCGCACTAAAGCATTCCAATTTGAACACACATATGTCCAAAAATGGAATGGAAACAAAAGGCACACAGGATGGAAAGAATATTAGCATCATTGATTGAATCAATAATGCAAAGCCATTTGCAAGAAATAGACTAGAACCCTTCAAACACCCAAGTTAAAAGTGAACACTTTACATTCTCGACCAAGTATGAATGGTTAATAATCCCGCTAATAAAGCCATGTGCAGTAAAGTCTACTCCTATATTTCATAAATCCTTAACCAAAGTGATTATACTAGTTATTGTCCATATAACCATATCTAACGCTCTTCGCACTACTTCAGTTAGTTAACAAAAAGAACTTCACAAGCTATTTGTAATAGCTAAATTACAAGCTTCAGGGGCAGTTTTAAGAAGTTAGTAGTTTTCTCAAGCAATGTTCAGTGACATGACTGTAGTTACACGTGATTCTACACCATAGAAGCTTAACGCGATGACCTTGGTAAAAAGCAGATTAAAAAAGTACTTGTCGAAATTTTAAAGAGCTGTGCCCTGCTATGGATTTGTTTTGCCAAATTTGCAAATCTGGTTGAGGGGCACAAAATCTAATGACAGCCAGGCCCAACCACTTAGCTGTTCCTTAAGTCTTTCAATAACTACCGACTATCATCCAATAAAGGCATGCAAGTAGTTAAAGTATTTTTAAGAATGTTAATTTGATGTCAACTATAACTAAATTAAACTAGCCTGAAAACTAGAATTATGGGTGCAGGATATACCACCACAAAAATTAGAAGGGACATGACCCACCTAAACTTTCAGAGCTTGCATCAGGATATTCAGCCAACATATATTATGGGATTCAACTGATAATGGTATCGTTTGCCTGTTGGACTACAGATTCTCTTGCACTAAAGAAATGTGTTGAAGGAGTTCTAGAGCAAAATCTAATGTTTAAAGTGATAAAATGCACCTTTCAAAGTTTTCAGCAAACACCACAATCTACTCCTTTTTTTAAACATTTTCTTCTTAAGGAAATTGCTTTTGATCTCCCAAATCTCTACAGTAGTATAACGTGAGAGTTGTAAACATTTGGATCTAAGGGGTCTATTAATATTCATAAGGAAACATTTGGCACAAGATCCAGAGAAAGGAAATGCTTAAAATTTTTAGCTATAGCTGGACATGTTTCATAACTAGAATTGCAGCAAATAAGGCGGTGCTAAATGTCACATAATCAAGTCATATCAGCAAGCATCCAGAGATTCAAGATCAGATACTTGTTGTCAAGAGATTGTCCATGAAAACAAATTAAAAAAAAAAATGAATCACAAAAGTATGTGCATTCTAACGGTCTCCAAGTGTTACGATTCACACTGAGAGCAACAAACTAGATGAGAACCCGGTGTACAGCCACTGTACATATGTCCCGATTCTGCGATTTATTCATTTCCTACATCAACTTCATATCGTCCTTTCCAGTAATATTGTTTCTTGAATCATTCAACCGAACTGGAATTTGAAATACTACAAAGAAAAGGACCAGCTTTCGTTTGACTTGCTCCAATAAGAAAACAAAGATAAAAGGCCATAAGGCATCATTGCAATGGTCGGATTGTTTAACAGAACAGACAAAGGACCACAGCGACCAAGCCATTTGAACAAAAAGGGAGGTCAGGAAGGTCTTCTAATCACGATCAACACAAGAAAAACAACATCCGCTCATAAATAGGGACAAAAAGGAGAAAAAAATCAGACCTTATCAGCACTACCAGCTGAAGCCTGAAGCTGTCCATTTCTTTCCTCCAATTTCTCCTGCAATTTGTGGATCTCCTCTTCCAAATTTTGCGCCTTTGTCTCCGCCTCCTGAAAAAAATAGGCAAGCCCAAAAATGAAAAAGAGAACTCAGATCCATTTTCAAACATACACAGCAAACTTAGCTGACCCCACAACCAAAAGCAGCTCACAAAGCAAAAAACTTCGAGAAGAGAGAGAAAGAGAATTCACATTCACTTGAAGATTCAAAAGCAAACCCATCAACCCAGAACAAAAGACAAAAAGCAAACCAAAAAGAAAGAGATTTTTTACACAATGACCATCACGTGCCTGCCTTGTGAGGGTTTCTTTAGCAAATGATTGTTCCTTAGATGCCAGCCGACTCCGGACGTCCTTGAGCTCCGCCGCCAGCGACACCACGTTTCGCCGGAAGCTCAGCTTCTTCTCGTTCAAATCTCTCAACAACGGATCGATCGAAACCACCGACTTCTCAGACATTTGCACAGTGGCCAAATTGGAACAAGTTACAGAAGATTTTTCCCAAGACGAAACGAAACGTCAGAAACTCTTTGCAATGGATCGGCCAAGCGATACCCAGTTTGACTACGCAAAAAAGGCAAAACCTTTTTATTGCGCACACTTGGACATACCCTCTCCCTGCAAAACAATAGAGTCGTTGCGTCCATTATATTCCATTTATTCCACTGACCGTGGATTCTTTTCTTCTTTTGCTGAAAAACGAAATAAGTAATAAGGAGCGTGTAGAATGAATCTTCTACTTCGTTTGACAATTTCCCAGGAAAATCTGGTCCAAGAAAAATTTACCCTTCTTCTTCTGGCAGATGATTGTACACGATGCTCTTCTATAATCCACAACAATGGTTTGAGAGAGAGAGAGAGAGAGACAGGTACTAGATTCATTCAACGGAGACCCTTTTCTCTATAAGCTTAAACTTAAAGCTGACTGAAGCAACTTAGCGACCCAGTTTCAAAATTTTCTCGGGAAAATAAACAAATGAGTCCAATCCCGCCCATTTTCTCCCCCGAAAAGAAATCACTCATATCTTACTCCAGCACACGCATGCAGAGCAGCGACTGTCGCCGATAAACTAGAGAAAAACCACGATCTCTTTGATGCAAAGGCGTGGATTTAAAGCATCCCCAAGACTGATCTGAACCAAACCAGAACTTCCGAAGCTCGAACAAGATCTCCAGATCACACAACAAGACATGCCTTCTCCCACGACAAGAACTCACCCAGAAACAAAACTCCAAAGAAACCCACCTGAACAGCAGCTGCAAAGAGAGAGAGAGAGGGGGGGTGGAGAGAGAAACTCCGGTCAAGGGAGCCCAGAAACGCCTGCAAACGTAAGCCTCTCCCTGTATGCAAAACGAAGAAAAAAACGCAGCCTTTTTATATAATTCTCGCTTTATCCTGCAACTGGACTCCACTTGGAATCCATCCCATGCAAATCTGGGTCATACGCTCCAAGGGTGTCGATTCAATGGCCAGTATCATCGGAGGGTCGGCAGTGGAAGTCAAAGGGTGTCCGCAAAATTTAAACTTTCTTCACTATGCGGAAGAAGGAGATGCGTAAGGGTCATAAAAAAATGCAATAAAAAGTGATTTCTTACATAGTTTAGGGAGAGTTTTCGGCGTTTACGGAACGTGTCTTGTCGACACTCGAGACAAACAAGACAGAGGAGAGAGAGAGAAAAGGGTTTTGCGGTAGGTTCGGATTCGTTAAGGCTAAATGCGGGGTGGCGGCTCCCGGTTCGGCTCGTGTCCGAGCCTCTGGTTCGTCTGAAGTGCGACACAGTCCGAAGCTAAGGCTCTTCTTGGTCTCGTGGTGGTTTGAGTGGAGCGCGGCAAATCCAAAAGTTTGGATTGGATCGAGCTCGTGTCGCGACACGTGGAGGGCTCGTCGGCCGTTGGATTTGGATCTGGCGGTGTGTGAAAAGGCATGAAATCGAAATTTTGCACTTGTCTGTCTCACTGGGTCAGGGTTGGGCCCAAGCAAGGATTGGCTTGGCCTGTTTTTCTTTGTCCATTTCAGGCCACACCTCATCTTGCTAGGGATGGAAAGATGCCGGCGATCGAATCCGCCAAAAAAGGATTGGAAAGGAGAGACCAGCGTAGATACCTCCGAACGTTACCTTAAAGGGTCTCCCATCCGGTATGTTCGATTCGAGGCGTAGTTACTCAGTTCACCCGTAAGTGTATAGGTCTGTCACTATAGCCCCACCGGCTTGGTAGAAGTTAGGAAATCTCTTTACATAAGGTAACATATGCCCAAGTTAGAGGTTGACTCTAAAGCAAATTTGAATAAGCTGTTCGAACATATAAAATCTCCTTAAACTTGCAATCACTCCCGTATATTTAAAACTTGTATATTGGGCATTACCACTTGGTTTTCACACTGTCATATTTGAGATTGACACTGAAGTCATCACTTATTTTGTTAGTCTAGGGTTGATGGTTAATAATGATGGCCCTGCTTCGCTTAAAGATACCAAAAGACCGTTGTGCTCTCGCTTTTCTCTTCAAAGTGCAACATAACTTCCGAAAAGAAAATCGTCCTGCTGATAGGCTTGCTAATCTCGGAATCGACAAGCGTTTGGACACTAGGTTATTTTCACTGCCTCCTCGAGAGTTATATCCTTTTTATCGGGTGATGAAATAGGGACAATAGATTCTTAAAATTAATTTTTTGTAATCAACTTTAACCCTTTTTCATACTAAAAAAAAAGATTGTGTATTGCGCATTTCTACAAGTAGGAGATCCATAGTCTCGAAATATAAGACCATAACAGATAAACATTAAACGGTTATGAAAAAACCCAAGGTTAAATAATCGTAAAATGAGAAGTTAGATTTGGAACACTGGCCAGTTCAAATAATGTCATTATATGATCAATGTGTTTTTTAGGGTTTACAAAATTACTTGTAAACTTAGGTTTTCCAAAGGAGGAAGGGTGATTTAAGTGGCTCATATAGGGCATGAATGTTGATTCATCCCTTAGGTATATCCCAAACCCATCCCAGCCCACTAAAGTCTCGTAAATGGAAATTGCAACCCATCCCACAAAGCGAAATTCATAACTTGTTTCAGACCAATTAGGTGTTTTTTTTCTCTTCATCTCTATTCACTTATCTAATTAAGTTTTACATAAGATCAAGATATTTGGGGGTTGACATTGCACCAACAAGGAAAGGAAACCATTAGCAAGTGATTGCTGGTGGATAGATTTTCCCACTCCTTTTGGCAATCCAAAAAAATAAAAAAGGAATTAGTATGCAGGTTTAAAATTGTTGAGTTAGAACTTGCAAGCATTGTCATTTTTTAGAATGCTTACTCTTTGTATAGATGAGCAATTGTCATGTTAATCTCTATTATTTTTCTTATTCATTTATAGAAAAGAAGAACAATTGTCACACACACACACACACACATATATATAATTAAATGTACAAAAGATTTGATAGTATCTAGGGAAAATTACCCAATCAATCATAAATTTATTATACGGATGTCAGTTCAGTTCTAAATTTCTAATTTTGTCAATTTAGTTTTATACTTTTGTGCAAAATTTCAACATAGTCCTTTTAATCAATTTTCGCCGAAAATTGCAGACGTGGCAATCCGGTTATCATCGACTATGCTACATAACACACCATCACTCATCGATTTTCAACGAAAATTGGTCGGAAGACTGCATTGGAATTTCACACACGGGTGCAAATTTGAAAAGTTTAGGAGAATTAATATCGGTACAATAAATTTAGGGCTGATTGTACAATTTCTTCATGATATCTAATCATAAATAAGAATAAAACAATAAAAAAAATCTAACTAAACATGGGTCACAATTATAAGTAGAAGTCAGGCCATCACGTATTCCATCTCATGCAACCCCACAATCTTCTTCTAGTTGGTATCTACAATTCCTTCATGCCCAACTTGTTAGCAATATTTTCAAAAGTCGGGAAAATTACCAAAAAAGTCATAAACTTATTGCAATTGTGCCAATTCAGTCCTAAACCTTTTTTTTTTTGTCAATTCAGTCCTAAACCATTTACAATTGTGCCAATTCAGTCTATCCGGCCACTTTTGGCCAGCCGGCGCTTACGTGGATGCCGGGCGACTGACGTGGCAATATTTTAATATTTTTTTTTATTTTTTTTCGATTTTTATTTTTATTTTTTTCCTTTCTCTTTTTTTTTTCTTTCCTTCTTCCCCCTGGCCAAAGTGGCCAGAGGGAGGCTCACCGGCCTTGGGGACTAGCGAGGGCGAGCTCGACCTCGCCCAAATCTGGTGAGGTCGAGCCTCGCCATGGCTGTGCGACAACAAGGCTCACCATGGCTGTGCGACGGCGATGCTCACCATGGCTTGCGTGACGGTGAGGCTCGCCTCACCGCAGCTCACCTATGGCATGTGGCGAGGCTCGCTCGCCGGCATGTAACCATGGCGAGCTTTGCCCTATCCCAGATCTGGCGAGGTCGAGCCTCGCCATGGCTATGCGACGGCGAGGCTTGCCCTCGCTGGCATTAGTGAGGGTGGAGCTCGAAATTTTTTTTATTTTTTTTCCTTTCTCTGTTTTTTTTTTTGGCCTTTCCTTCTTCCCTCGGTCCGGCAGGGGCTAGGGCTGGCGAGGTCTCGCCGGCCATTGGGGAGGCTCGTCCTCGCCGGCACTGGGCGAGGCGAGGGCGGAGCTCGCCATGGCTGGGCGAGCTCGACCTCGCTCATAGCCATGGCGAAGCTCAACCTCGCCAGATCAGGGTGAGGTTGAGCTTGCCCAGCGGTGGCGAGGGCAAAGCTCGCCCAGCCATGGCGAGCTCCACCCTCGCCGGCCCTCGCCAGAGCTGGGCGAGCCTCCCCAGTGGCCGGTGAGCCTCCCCCTTGCCGGTTCGGCCAGGGGGAAGAAAGAAAGAAACAAAAAAAGAGAAAGGAAAAAATTTAAAAAAATTCAAAAAAATATATATTAAAATATTGCCATGTAAGCCGGTTGGCGTCCACATTAGCGCCGGCCGGCCAAAAGTGGCCGAATGGACTAAATTGGCATAATTGAAAAAGATTTAGGACTGAATTGGCAAAAAAAAAAGTTTATGACTGAATTGACACAATTGCAATAGTTTTACGACTTTTTTGGTAATTTTCCCTTCAAAAATCTCCTTTTCCCGATGCCTTCCTGAAGATTTCAGCTAATTGTAATCTTCTAGGCACGTAGCCCGGCTTCACAAGCACAAAGGCCCAAGCCTCTTCGTGAGCCTTGACATTTAGAAAGAACCAGCCTGACTCCCTAGAATGGCAAGATACCTATAACTCACCTCAAATTCGATCTACAAAACTTGTGTATATAGCGAAATGTCTACAACTAAAGTATATGTAGTCGCAGAATGCAAGATGGTAACAAGTTAACATTGAATGTTTGGAAATAAGTAAATGTGTGCCTTAGGGTCTACAAAATTACATAAATGATTTTAGAGCTTTCGAAAGGATTAAGGGTGATTATCCATTTAGGTTAATTTTGAACCTGTCCAATCTCGGGTTTTGTAAATAGAACTTTAAACACATTCCCCACAAGAGAAGCTCAAAGCTTGTTGAGTACATATTGGAGTCCGGATGAGTCATAAACCTAGTCAAGTAATGATTGTCCAAAAAATCCTAAAATCTATTCTATGGCGCGTCGGCGGCCAATTAAGTCCTAAACTTTTCAATTTTGCCATTTTGGTCTCATATCTTTTGATAATTATCTAATGTAATACATCCGGCCAATTTTGACTGTCCACTCAATGTCGACTAGCCGTGCCATAGTTCAGTCAGTGCTGACCATCCTATGTGGCACGGCTGGTCGGCATTGACCGATGGTGATGTGGATGATTTTTGCAATCTTTTCTTCTTCTTCTTCTTCTTTTTTCTTTATTCTCTGCCAGTGGCTAGCTATAGGCAAGGGCTGTAACACCCTTGCCTACGCCCAATAACCAATGAAGAGAGAAGAGAAAAGGAAAAAAAAATTAGAGATTTTATTAAAAAAAAATTGTCCACTTAAGGGATTTCCAGCCAAAAGTTACCATATGGATTATATTGGAAAATTATCAAAATATTTAAGATTAAATTGAAAAAATGGCCTGCCGTACAATAAGTTTAGATTTTTTGGAACAATTTTCCCACCTAGTCAAGCCCGACTCACTTCCTTCTCTGACTCATTTCTTTGGGATAATGACACCAATGGTTCCTAAGCTATAATTCAATGTACAATATGGTCCATGAACTTTTAATTTGTTTAATGTAGTCTTTGAACTTTTGTTCAATGTGCAATATCGTTTCTAAACTTTTTAATTTGTTCAATGCGATCCCTAAATTTTTGGTAAATATTCAAACTAGTCCTTGGATTACATGAATATATCCAATATTATCCTTTCATTAATTTAAGTTCCAGAATAATATTGAATATTTTCATAAAGTTCAGGGACCAGTATGAACATGTACCAAAAGTTCAGGGACCACAATGGACAAATTAAAAATTCAAGGTCCATATTGCATATTGAACTAAAGTTCATGAACCATATTGAACAAATTAAAAGTTCAGAGATCACATTGCATATTGAATCAAAGTTTAAT